ATAGGTTTTTTCATAAATGAATGCACTGTTCAAAAATCTAAAACCAACTAAAGTTTTATATTCTTATCTAGACCAATCAGGGGCCAAATGCCAAAAACATGCATAATTTTTCGAAATAAGTGATGATGTAAGTCTTGAACTCGATATATTAATTTGTTTATTCAAGTACGATGTTAAACTACTTATCTAGAAGTTTAAATTATTTGAAATGAGACCAATTTATTTACTTAAATTATTGTCTTTAATCCATCCATTGCCTGCCAAATTTAATTTTCATATCAGAAATTTAGTTTTTGTGAGTAAAATTTAGATCTTTCATCAACTCTTGTATCACGTTAAACCGCCTTAATCATTTAGACGAAGTATGAAGTGATTGAATAAGTGATTCTTTTCAAGAACCGTGCTGGATGGACAAGGCCACGTAGACCCTGTCCAAACTGATTCTTTTCAAGAACCGTGCTAGACGGACAAGGCCAGGTGCGTTGGCCCTGTCCAAACCGATTCTTTTCAAGCACTATGTTGGACGTACAAAGCCACGTAGGCCCTGTCCAAACTGTTAGGACAGGGCCTACGGGTTTTTCCTTCTTTCCAATCTTCCCCTACATATGTAATTAATCAAAAAACAGAAATATACATGCATGCAATAATGATCTCAATAACAATATTGATGATAAATTTCTTAATCTCAATAAATAACATAACTCTAAATAAACAAACCACAAGACCCAGACAGATATAAATGTTTTTCAATTATTAATTAATTGATCAGACTCTAACAAAGAAAATACTCAGTTCAGGCCCACTATTTCCATCTGGATTCATCATGTAATACGTCTCTGAATCCTTCGATCCAGTCACTCGTTCAAAATAAGCTCTCAAATATGTCAGTTCCCCTTCCGGCAAGTCTGCGGCATCGCCGGGAAGAACTCCGGCTCCCATTGACACTGCATGAAGCATTTGAATAACCTTCAAATCATCATCTGTCACCTCTCTTTTTACTGCATATCCAGCTTTTCTTCCATTGCAGTACATAGTCCAGATAGGTTCGTCCATCAGCTTGATTTTCTCAGTAGGGTGTTTTTCGCATTCGAGTGCAATTCGAACAAGTCCCAATCCCATATCTTGAAGGAGTTTTCCAGTTTGAATTGAGAGTTCAAGGACAAGAACCGGAAGGCACCTGGGGTTTTCTTGAATTGCAATGTTTACACGAGATTTCCGGTGCCCGAATAGGGTTCCGGTCAGCTGTTTTCCGCCGTGAATATGGCCATCGTGGATCGGAACAGGCATCTTGCATGGAGGATTGATGACAGGAAATGACCGGAAAACTGATCGGACACGCTGGAAAAGTTTAGTGGACTTGGAGGGATTCTTTTTACGGGATGGTTCTTGTAGAGTGACTTGAGGCTTAGGAGGTGAATTCTCAGCTGGCGCCACCACATTCGGGGCCGGCGGAGGCGGTGGCCGCCGCTTTGGAGTGGGCATTTTGTGCTTAGGCGTTGGCATCTTGGTATTGATGAACGGAAAAATGTGCAGGCTATTGTGTATATAAGAAGAGGAAATAATGGGAAGCACGTTTTTTGTTGATCAATTCAGAGTGGTTTACTACTATGCGATGATTGACTTAAAACTTATAATTAATTATAATCACTTGGCCAAAAAGAGAAATTAAATAACTATAATTTGTTTTTTTGTTTGTTAGTTCTCTTGAATTTAGGCTGAAATCTCTGCTTTAGGTTGAAAGCAAAAGGCATAGTTATCTGTCAACATAGCATTATTCAATTATTAAACATTGGAAATGGAAAATAACTGTTAATATTGAAAAATTAGGGGGGGAAAATTTATAACGGTCTAAAAATCTGATTAAAATCTGATTTTTATTTAAACCAAACGTGGGCCGAATTTCTTACTCTTTTTTGTAAATTTAGAACTTTCAAGCTGCAATTACTCTATGGATGGAAGGCAATAATACTTACGAAACTTTTATGTTGCTTCTCACAATTATCGAGCCTAGTTAACTCAGTTCTTTCTTGTGACCCTGATCTCTTACTACGTTTGATTATTCGGATGTATCGTTACTTAAATAAAGACACCCAACTTCTCCCAAATTCTCATCATAAGCCCTTGGCTAAAACTTTACAATGTGCTCATAAGGACCTTTAAATAAAATATTTTGACTCTATACTTTTATTTTATGTTATGTCCAATCTTAATTAAAATTCTATATAATAAAGTAACATGTTGATTCACTTTTAAATTAAAATGTTAGTTGAGTTCTCTTATTAAAAACTCATATGTCAATTCTTCAATAAAAAGTCCCCGTTAGAGCCTTTGCTCCATTCGAAACGTCTTGTTTCTTCATTAAACAATTAATTGTCAATCAAAATAGTCAACTCCATGTTTGCCGACTTAGTTCGAATCGACAATTTGGTAGAATTTATTTACATCGATTATTAACAGTTTGCTGGGATTGCCTTCACAAGAACAGTATTCATTGTAGGTATTTCTTCGTTACCACTGCAACTCCTCTGCCAGAATCAAAATAAAATAAAATATTGGATTTTTGAAATTTGAAACTCTAATAAAAGTTTGAATTCTACACAAAATTGACTAGGAATTATGGTAGCAAGTATTCACCAAACAAATAAACACCCACAACAGTGAGAACTGAAAGGAAATTTCAACATATACATAAAATATATTCGAGGATTCCCATTTCAGATGCTGGATTCTCATCAACTCTTGTATCACGTTAAACCGCCTTAATCATTTAGACAAAGTATGAAGTGATTGAACAAGTGATTCTTTTCAAGAACCGTGCTGGATGGACAAGGCCACGTAGACCCTGTCCAAACTGATTCTTTTCAAGAACCGTGCTAGACGGACAAGGCCACGTGCGTTGGCCCTGTCCAAACCGATTCTTTTCAAACACTATGTTGGACGTACAAAGCCACGTAGGCCCTGTCCAAACTGTTAGGACAGGGCCTACAGGTTTTTCCTTCTTTCCAATCTTCCCCTACATATGTAATTAATCAAAAAACAGAAATATACATGCATGCAATAATGATCTCAATAACAATATTGATGATAAATTTCTTAATCTCAATATATAACATAACTCTAAATAAACAAACCACAAGACCCAGACAGATATAAATGTTTTTCAATTATTAATTAATTGATCAGACTCTAACAAAGAAAATACTCAGTTCAGGCCCACTATTTCCATCTGGATTCATCATGTAATACGTCTCTGAATCCTTCGATCCAGTCACTCGTTCAAAATAAGCTCTCAAATATGTCAGCTCCCCTTCCGGCAAGTCTGCGGCATCACCGGGAAGAACTCCGGCTCCCATTGACACTGCATGAAGCATTTGAATAGCCTTCAAATCATCATCCGTCACGTCTCTTTTTACTGCATATCCAGCTTTTCTTCCATTGCAGTACATAGTCCAGATAGGTTCGTCCATCAGCTTGATTTTCTCAGTAGGGTGTTTTTCGCATTCGAGTGCAATTCGAACAAGTCCCAATCCCATATCTTGAAGGAGTTTTCCAGTTTGAATTGAGAGTTCAAGGACAAGAACCGGAAGGCACCTGGGGTTTTCTTGAATTGCTATGTTTACACGAGATTTCCGGTGCCCGAATAGGGTTCCGGTCAGCTGTTTTCCGCCGTGAATATGGCCATCGTGGATCGGAACAGGCATCTTGCATGGAGGATTGATGACGGGAAATGACCGGAAAACTGATCGGACACGCTGGAAAAGTTTAGTGGACTTGGAGGGATTCTTTTTACGGGATGGTTCTTGTAGAGTGACTTGAGGCTTGGGAGGTGAATTCTCAGCTGGTGCCACCACATTCGGGGCCGGCGGAGGCGGTGGCCGCCGCTTTGGAGTGGGCATTTTGTGCTTAGGTGTTGGCATCTTGGTATTGATGAACGGAAAAATGTGCAGGCTATTGTGTATATAAGAAGAGGAAATAATGGGAAGCACGTTTTTTGTTGATCAATTCAGAGTGGTTTACTACTATGCGATGATTGACTTAAAAACTTATAATTAATTATAATCACTTGGCCAAAAAGAGTAATTAAATAACTATAATTTGTTTTTCTGTTTGTTAGTTCTCTTGAATTTAGGCGGAAATCTCTGCTTTGGGTTGAAAGTAAAAGGCATAGTTATCTGGCAACAAAGCATTATCCAATTATTAAACATTGGAAATGGAAAATAACTGTTAATATTGAAAAATTAGGGGGAAAAAAATTTCTAACGGTCTAAAAATCTGATTTTTATTTAAACCAAACGTGGACCGAATTTCTTACTCTTTTTTGTAAATTTAGAACTTTCAAGCTGCAATTACTCTATGGATGGAAGGCAATAATACTTACGAAACTTTTATGTTGCTTCTCACAATTATCGAGCCTAGTTAACTCAGCTCTTTCTTGTGACCCTGATCTCTTACTACGTTTGATTATTCGGATGTACCGTTACTTAAACAAAGACACCCAACTTCTCCCAAATTCTCTTAATAAGCCCTTGGCTAAAACTTTACAATGTGCTTATAAGGATCTTTAAATAAATATTTTGACTCTGTACTTTTATTTTATGTTATGTCCAATCTTAATTAAAATTCTTCATAATAAAGTAACATGTTGATTCACTTTTAAATTAAAATGCTAGTTGAGTTCTCTTATTAAAAACTCATATGTCAATTCTTCAATAAAAAGTCCCCGTTAGAGCCTTTGCTCCATTCGAAACGTCTTGTTTCTTCATTAAACAATTAATTGTCAACCAAAATAGTCAACTCCATGTTTGCCGACTTAGTTCGAATCGACAATTTGGTAGAATTTATTTACATCGATTATTAACAGTTTGCTGGGATTGCCTTCACAAGAACAGTATTCATTGTAGGTATTTCTTCGTTACCACTGCAACTCCTCTGCCAGAATCAAAATAAAATAAAATAAAATATTGGATTTTTGAAATTTGAAACTCTAATAAAAGTTTGAATTCTACACAAAATTGACTAGGAATTATGGTAGCAAGTATTCACCAAACAAATAAACACCCACAACAGTGAGAACTGAAAGGAAATTTCAACATATACATAAAATATATTCGAGGATTCCCATTTCAGATGCTGGATAAGTATCATAAAACACAACTCGATATCAGAAACATCAGAATCTTGAGAAAACTCATAATATGCTAAATGAGGTTGTTGATTCAGATCGTTTCAAATCAATGCAGGATAGGAGCACTAGTCACCATCAACCATTTTGGTCGAATAAGAAAGACCATTATCAAATATCGGGACTTCTGCTTCACCATCAGGAACGGCGCCATGAGAGGAAATAGAGAAACACGGATTGTGATTGTAAAAACAGCATTTCACTTCATCCTCCGTTTCAGTAGCAGCGGGGTTGTAAATATTGATGTTGTGGAACAAGAGATTAGCAACTGTTCTATCAATTGCATTTGTTGACTCTTCTTCATCAGTATCATCCAACCTGGACGTGAAGAAAGATGCATCTATTAATTAAACTTATATCAATAATACTCATTCTTCAGGTGACAAAAACTAGTTAACGCCGGCGAACCCCCACAAGTACATAAAGAAATGTATCTATAGCTCAAAGCCTCAAACAACCCTTTTTTTTGGGTTTTGGGTTGGGGGGGGGGGGAATAGTGTTTTGATGAAAAATGTGTGATTAAAAAATAAAGAAAAGATTTGGATATGCGTGTAATAATATTTCAAATCACCCAGGGAATTCTTAAGCTTCAAAGCTCAAGTGGTTAGTAAAACCAGTTGAGTAACGATACTCAACGATGATCTCAACCATCCAAAACGTTACCAGACACCCTAGTATACCCTTCTCAAAGCAAATTCTTTTCCAGTCTTCTAGGTCCACAATCATTTATCGACTTGCCATCTTGAGAATTCGTGATCTAAAATGAACAGATGGTATCCATTAAATGGATGGGTCAACTGAACTAGGCTCGGAAATGCTACCAGTTCATTCACAAGGTCGATGTGCAACTGTTGTAATAAAGACACAAAATTGTGAACAAGAGGAACTTACAACACTCATGCACAATCAACTACAGGAGTATTGAAGACACGTCATCTCACATGAGACTGGTGGTCCAACAGAATCTAGAGTTAGGTTCCATAAGAGTTTCTCAAAGTGCATAGTGAAGATACTCACGTCAAAGCATTGATAAAAGGTAGAAAGCGAAGTAAGGCTGTGATAAACCCCTCTCCCTAGTGAAGTTGAAGCTTTTCAGCACGAAACAGTGAGTGACAAAAGACTATGATGCATAATTCACTATTTTCTATCTATCATATTTATCTCGTTGTCTCTATGTCTCCTCCCCCATGTTACTCTATTCCCTTCACTGCAGGTGTATTTTTTTATTTTTTTTATTTTTTTTTTTCACTTCTTTACAGGCCTTTCACTCTTCTTCCTCTTCTATTATCTTCTGCTTCACATTTCCTTCTCCGCTCTTTTCAGCCAAAAATGAGGTCTAAAGAGAGGGCGCAGCAGATACAAGCCACCAACTCTTCACCCAAAATATCACACTCATCAATTCCATTCTGAAGTCCTAACTTTAGTCATCATATCGTTTAACCTTTCCCAACGTGTCAACTGGCATGCTCTCATTAGCAGTAGCTTAGTCATCCAGGACTAATTGCCATGGTCAATGGCTAATCTCAGTTAGAATAATAATCTCACTTGGAAATATCATATACTTAGATATACACGCTTGACTACTAAAATCCTAGCTTTATACCTAATCCAAAGTGAATCAAATACAAACTAATCACAACCAAAACTAGTAAATCGTGTTTGGAACTAGTTAACATGACGGGGGTTTATCAAATAGTAATATATGAAATCTGTGTGTAACGTAGAGAAGGTTCCATGTATAGGACGTGTTCATTCGCAAAGCAGTCATGTGATAAATTGCTTAATTCTTCAAATATTGACGGGAGGCCTATAAATGTCACCCCAAGGATATATCACTCAAGCTTCAGTACGCTAGCACTACCATCCCCCACTTATCCCCAGCTGCAAAGCTTCATTACAAAGCATTTGATGGAGGAATATTAAATATTTACAAACACCCTCTTCAATCATTCTCAAGGAGTTCGAAACTTGGATCAAACAGTTACAGCAATTCTGAATAATTACATTATATTTTGATGGCCAGAGATGGATGAATCAATAGATGTATAGGACACTAATTGGATGGTTCTAACCATCAATAAAAAAATAGGAGCTTGCAGAATCTCATCATACAACAGTTATGAATTCTACAAAAACAGAATTATTGGACACTGTTCTACATTTGAATATTAACTTACCCCATGCTAAATTTGATTAGCAGAATGGAGAAGCATACTAATAACGAAGGACCACAAAAGCAATAAAATTTACATTATACAGGCTTCACAAATCACGAGTCCTCGTCAGTAAATAACTCCACGTGAGATAAAAGGAATCTAAAAAATATTATCAAATTTCAGTTCACAAAAGGTCTCAAAACTGTAAGCTGACAGTTTATAGATGCCACGCAAGAGTCCTAATTAGTAAATGACTTTCTTAAACCCAAAATTAACAATATTCTACTCACATACTCCTACTGTGATATATCCATTCTAATTGAGTAAAACAAGTGAGCATGAGAAAGTTCAGCAATATATAGCATTTACCTAGATGTTTCACTATAGGCTGTCGGTGAACACTCTGCTGGTGCTTCATTGCCTTCCTGCTTGGTTTCTTCATGTTTTGAGTTTTTCGCAAGGCGGTAAAGGGCATCACGAATGCAAATTCTAGTATTATCCGTCAACTAGCAAGATAGGATTAAGAAACTAACTTGTGAGCATCCCATATTTTATTGACGTGGTTTAGCACTTCTAGATATCTAGCATTCTCACCTGCACAGTCAAGCTTCTAAGCTCCAAATATACAGATTCCTCCAAGGATATTTTCTCCTCTGTGATGTGCTTATCTGCACTGTTGTGCTCCAATGAGAAGGGGACGTCAACCTCCATTGCCTTGAACAACAATTACCAAGATTAAAAATGTTCAGCAAATCAGGCCTTGAACAGCCATGTCAATGTTTCGAACGAAAATCATGAATATGACAAAAAATTTTAACTACATGGTTATATTGATATCCACCGGAATTAGCATCCACCAAAACATGTCCGAAAACCAGAGTTCTTCTCACCAATTGAAAATTGTGAATCCAAAATCAATATTAGATTAATTAGACATTATACCATGTTCTTCTAAAGATATCTCTTGTACTTAGTTGCTTACGCATTTATGAAAGAATGCTCACCGTTGCCAGCGTAAAGGGATCATTTTTTGCTTCATTCTTGCAGTCTGGTGAGGCAGAAAAAGTGTATTTTTCTAGATCCTGCGAGTGTCCGGTATTGTCTATATGGTCTTGAACAGTCTTAGACTCTGAAATTAGATCTCTTGAAAGATTTGATGGCGTCATATATTCATTGCTGGATGTTGGTGAAAAATTAACTGAACTAGCAGCATGGATTCCACTTCCATTCTCTTCAAGTAATGATTGCCTGCAAAATAAGTAGCAGAAGAGTTGAACTTCAGGAGCGTAATTTATACAAAAATGATAAAACAGTTTTAACATCAAAAACGTGTTTTAATAATCTCTGAAATTGATATGCCATGAAAATTGTTTTAACTGTGCTTGAAGCCCAAAGAAATGTAAAATTTAAAATTTTAAGTGCAATGATTTCGTTGCAAAGTGTCCATACAAAATGGTCAGCTCAGGCCACCACTGCTGTATTTTCTCTAATAAGCACAACACTCTAATCACATCACTTTTACAATTTCAGTGATAGGATAGAACAGTAGAAAAGCCAGAGCTTCAATCAATCGACGATCAGCCAATCAACTTTAAAATTTCTGTCTACCAACAAATCACTAAGGCTACTGTTCCTAAATAACAGCTTACCTTGAGCATGAAACTTTGAAACATTTAATAAAGCATAAGATGCACATGCATGATCCATGATGCATGAAATCAAGTATCTTAAGCCCAGAAGCTAAGCTTGTACACGAAAATGTCATCAGCCTCATCAAATCTGGCAACGTCATTGAGTTGAAAATCCAACTGTTCACGAGGAGAAGTGCTCCATTGATAAAAATCATCTTGCAAACCTATACAGACCCTTGTACTACAGAGCTGGTCAACTTCGCTAGAAAAAGTGGTCCCACTCAATGGAAGTTCTTCCGTTCCTGCAATTCTGCATTTCTTAGGGGAATTGAAGCTTCCAAATGTTGCGTTCTCCCAAGGAGACAAACTATATGGTGATGGAATCATGTCAGACATCTCCTTATTATTTGGCACGACAAGATCTTCAATATCACTTCCAAAGTACCAATCCATTGAATTTGCCCAAACGATATTATCACCTACACATACAAGAAGACTGATAACAGTTTAGTATATTGATGTTATGCTCCACTTTATTAGAGTCTGTCACAAAGGCCTATATCACTCAATCATGTGAATCAGTTTACACTTTTATGCTGCCCAAGCGACATTTATCTAGTATGCTTTTATTATTACCATTGCTCTTCTTGTCTTTTCCACTCACATTAATTATTCAAGATAGTAATATAGAGTTCCACTTTTCAGAATGGAAAACTTTATCTAATCCCTTACCTTTCAATCCCTCTCAAAATAAACATCCTCTTGACTTTTTTCTTATCTACACAATGATTTATGTAAGTCATATTAATCTATCCGTTCTTTTAACTCCAAAAACTCCCAAAATTAGCATTCCCTATGTCCCTTTAAAAATGCATCATTTTTTGAAAAGGGTAAAAGTCCATTTGATAAACTGAGAATTGTCAGGTAGTTTGCCTGTCAATGGCCTAAGAGGTATGCACTGGCCAGATTTCATTCAGTTATATGTGGTTTAGGATAAATTGTGTCTTCTGAAATTAACGATTCAAATTACATGCAGTATGCATTTCTTTCCAACTGAGTTCCATAAGCACAGAAAGATAGAAACAACTGAAATTCAATACTTGATAGACAATTTTTCTAAACCAAATGCCAAAAATGGTTTAGAGTTGAAAGCAGAGTTGAACAAGGAGGTGTTGGTTTTGGGAGCTCATCACAGACAAAGATGGTACCAGAGATCTCCAGAAAGATGGAGAATTTTATTTAGGGTTTGAGATGACTAATGATTATGGCCGTGGGATTCAAGGGGTGGACGGACGAAGGAGATTTGGATTTTCATGCAAGGAGGAAAGAAACAGGGTCAGAGTTCGTGAGTGTTTAGGAGAGTGATGAGGAGTTTGGTGAAAAGTTCTCTTTATAAGAAAATGAATATTTTTATCCTTAACCTCTAATAGAAATTGAACAGAATCAGATCAATATGTATCAAATAGTTCATTAAGGATCACACTAATATGTATCTAGTAGGCACCATTTCCAAAAGTTTGAGTACATTGAGCCCTCGTTTGGCCCCCATTAAATTTCATTACATTACATTCCATTTTTCTCTTTCCTATTTTCAACCACACAATCTTTCATAAAATAATATTACACGTAAATCGAAAACTTTTCATTCTTTTTCAACCATTCATTTTTCAAAAAAATACTATTCCACTCATTTTCATTTTCCGAAAATGGGGACCAAACGAGGGCTGAATAGTATTTCCCATTTGCCACTATACCAAGCTCAAAAATTCTAACATGTGAAATGATAATGACTTTTCCTTCAATTTTGTGTTTCGGCATCCAGGAAATTAATGCCGCCGTCTGAATATGATTATGTTTTAGTAATAACGACACAAGGGAGTGGTATTTTGTTTCGATTTCACCGTCATGTCAACGTTATCCTCTAATACCAATTAGATCATGCCAGTGGATATTCGTCTTGAAACAAAGGATGGGTATTTCAATTAGTAATCAAGATTCAAGGTAATAAACTAGAATCACTAGTGTATAATTCCTTCCTTTTTTTAGTTTTAGGGAAAAATATGCGTGGATACCAACAGTATAACATAAAATGAAGCTTAACCAGACAATAAAATCATACATAGAGAATTTGTAGAGGCGACCACCAGCCTTTCAATTTCAATCGCACAAATTTCTTTAAAGGCTCAAATAAAAATCACATGGACATAAAAAAAGAATGCAAATCCAATTACAAGAGTACATCCAAATGAGTAAAATTTCAGCTGTCATCCATTAAATTCTGAACTTCAAGCCACAGAAAAATTGTCATCCATTAAATTCTGAACTTCAAGCCACAGAAAAATTGAATTTAAAAAAAAAATAGATACATACCTGAGTAAAAAGGTGATTGATGAACTAAAACAGTCACGAATTTTGGAAGTTAATCAGGAAAATATGGCGACTAATCGAGCAAACTACGGTGGGCCTAATGGCACGGAACTCCTGAATTTATAGAACAAAGATTATGTGCAATAGATTAAAGCACTATATCTGAAGTGACGGAAAAGCCCTCTTGTGACTCTCTACAGTTGCGTAAAACTGAATAGTAGTCAAAGGGTATATTTGGAAGATTAGGAAAAGAAAGTCCTTTCGGGAGAGAGAAATGATTTGTGGCTGAGAATTGTGGGCAGAGGAATTAGTGGCTCAGGATTCTCTATCCAAAAATGAAATAACATTGGTTCACGTTGATTTATGGTCCCACCAACATCAATCCTATTTCAAAAGGCGCTTTTATGTATTTTCTTGTATTTATAGATTTGGGACTTGGACTTCATTAAAATCAAATTTCAAGAAATATATATATTTTTTTTAAGAGTGTATTGTTAAAAAGAAAAAGAAAAAAAAGTTTTAAATTTATGTGTTTTATTATTTTATTAAAGAATGAGTGATTGAAAAAAATAAAAATAAAAAAATATTTTTAGAGCCTATTTGGGAGTGATTTTGAGAATTGATTTTTTGACCATTGGAGGAAAGTGGGATCCACCTGTGAAAGAAGAAGTCAAATATAACTGCTGAAATAATAAAATAACAGCCAAAAAATCAATTTTTTAGAAGAAAGAATCACTCACAAACAGGCTCTTAATAAAATATTATCCAAACAAAGTTATGAGTCCGTTTGAGCCACATTATTTGTATAATGAGAATGAAAAATAGAGTTGTTATGGCCCCACACAAGAGATAGAAATTCAAAAATGGTGGCTGAATATGATGGATAACGATCATATTTTTCATTTTAATGAAATAAAAATGGGGCTCAAACAGAGCCTATAATTTCATTTTTTACTCACTTCTTATCAACCACATATTCTCTAATAAAATAATATTACACATTATCTCGATTTTTTCTTACTTTATAATCATATATTTTTCAAAAAATTATCATTTCAAAATATATTTTTTCCAAAATCTCTTTATAACGGGGTCAAACAAGGGCTAATATTACATCTAAGAGGATAGTCCCAATCTGCACAAAAAGGCCTACAAAAAAACTAAAGCCCAATCAATCAAGCAATCAAAGTTTTTGACACTGTGCCCTTGTTTGAGTCCGATTTTTGAGGAAAAAATGAATTTTTGAATAGTATATTGATGAGGAATATGTGGTTAAAAAATAAGAAATTTTTTTGAATTTACTTATAATATTATTTTATTGAAAAATGTGTGGTTGAAATAATATCAAAGCACTGTTAAAATATGCATTTTTTTTTTCAAAAGAATGCAGCTCGGCTGTTTAACTTTTTCTAAGATGATTAAACATAATTTTTATTTCAATATTGCTATAATGACAGACTCAATAATTGAGGGATACTTGTCAATACATGATTGAATAGCTTTAATAAAAATAAATATAAATAAAAAACCAACATCCAATCGATGTCTATCACACCGCATAGTAATCCCATCCAGGTCATTGTCCTTATCCAATAAGCATTATTATGTTTATTTACACATTTATAGAATTTAGGAAAATTTGCAGCAAGCAATCCCAACCTTTTTTTTTATTATTATTATTTAATTTTTTTTTCAGATTTTTTTTGTTTGTTTATATAATGTGATAATTCTTACGTTACAATTTTACCCATTTTAAATTTGGTCAAAATCAACTTCACTGGTCAACTAACAATCATCCTTTCGACATCTGTTGCATATTTTTGAAATGTTATATTTTTCATTGACACAAATTAGATGAAGTCTAATAAACTTGAAAAAGTTATGGACTGCTGTTGGCATTTATTCTAAAATTTACATGTCCAAATTTATTACCAATTTATTATTCACATATTTTTATAGAATTCAGAGATTAAAATCACTTAAAAGTTACTATTGATTGGCACGAGAGTCTAAAGAAAAATAAATGCTTTTCGAAGTTTGCCCATGTTTAGTGCGGATTAAAATCAAATTTTGATATAAGTTGATGAAATAAATGATTGAAAAATTATAGGTCTCATGAAATGTGTAATTAAAATTAATTGTTGACTTTAATTTATTAAAACATTTATTTTAATTTCCATCAAAAAATGATTTTATTGAATAATAATATTGTATGGTTAAATCACTTTTTCACTAGGTAGATTCAGTCCTCAGTATGGCAACGAATTTGGACGGTGAGATTTGCCCTCTGGCAATGTTTTCCTGTTGCTCCAATACGTGCAATGAGGGGGCAGAAATGAGTCCTTTGTTCTCCCTCTTGCATGAGTTAGTATCTGTGAGAAGAATAATTATAAAAAGAATCTATATATAAGGGACAATGTCTGAATTATATAGAAGTTATCATAAACCTTTACCTTGAATGCAATGTGGGCCTTATGTAAAGTACTTACCAATGGAATAATTCTAGTTGTACAAAAATCATACAGAAGTTTCACATGGAACATGAGACCTACTGGTACCATGTGGAATAAAATAGTGCTCAAAAATGACCACCTCCTTGTCACGTGTGTAGTCTGTAAAGTTTTTGTACGTGTAGTAGCTCTCCAATGACATTGATGAAAGATTCACAAACGATGGAGGGAGACATGTCTTAAGATCTGAAGCCCTTGTGGGGACATGTTACTATTACGTGGATGGGGTACGTTTGGGTAGCTTGACTTGTAAATGATTTGATGTACCTTGTCGAAAGAATACCAAAGCTTTAAATGTGTGTTTTTTTTAAAAAAATTAAAATCTAAATAGCTAAATAGGCTTACTCGATCAGGATGGATCTTGTTTTTTGTTATAAATGACAACCTGACGGAAAACGTGAGGCTTCTAAAAGCATTGAGTCGTGTTTTATGACTTTATCCATGCAAACTTAGCCCTTGTTTGAGCCCCAAATTTTCTGATTCTTCTCATTATTTTTTCTACGGTACTTATTTTCAACCACACATTCTTTATTAAAATAATATTATACATAAATCAAAAAGTTTTCGTTTTTTTTAACCATACATTTCTCATCAATTTATTCCATAATAAATTTCAAGAAATTAATGGGAAAAAAATGCAGCAACGGTTCCTAACCTTTTCATTTTTTGCAGACTTCACCCTGACCTTCATTTTGTGCCAACGGAGGCTCCTAACCTTTCATAAATATACACTTGAGGTCCATTTGGACAAAAATAGTCCGAAATACTGTCAGTTGATCGGAAAAATTAAAAAATTATCATCCAATAAAACTATCTAAATCATCATCCAAAAACACTGTCCAAAAAGGTATCAATGTCCAATAAAACCATCGCGGTAGCAGATTATTCAAGAAATTTTTCGATCAACTGACAGTGTTTTAGACGGTTTCCATCTAGATGGACCTTAGGTACATATTTATAAAAGGTTAGGGACCTTCACTGGTACAAAATGAAGATTATAGTAAATTCTGCAAAAAAAGAAAAAGTTAGAGACTGATGTTGCAATTTTTCCAATTAACGGGCTCAAACAGGGGCATATTTTACACCAACAGTTGTGTTCTCAATCCATCTTGGAAAATTACGAATTCAAGTCAAAACACCTCCACAGATTGCAACTGAAGTTCAAAATTACTACAGATATATGGGGGGCGGGGGGTTTCAGTCCACTCACTACATAATGTAAGGCTGAATAACGAACCCTCAAGTCATAAAATCGAATCGAAACAGCTTTTGAAATCATTGATTTGGATTTATGTGAATCTGTCAACGATTTGATTTTGAACTTAACCAAATCATTTCTAAGTTGTTTGATTTATGTTTCATTTTTTCAAACCATTTTCAAATAGTCTAATTGTTCAAAAAAAATCTGAAAATAAATAAATAAAAATTTTATCTTATCTAATTAAAAATTAAACACATTATAATTAAAAAGGCACATCCATGTTAGACTCAACTTAATTGAACTCAATCAAAATCCAATAAAACTCAATATCCAATTAGGCAATTATCCATACAAATTAACAAGTTAAATCGAACTCAATTATCGATCAATCATCCCAATTGAGAATGCAAAAACCTTAAATTGACTGAAGTATTTAATGACCGTTGTTGAACCATATTCATCGATCTTTCATCCCAATTGACTAGGCAATTAAATTTAGAATTAAATTGAAATTTGCAAAATTTATTTCCCTTCTATTAATAATTTTTTGGATTTTGGTTCAATCTTTCAAATCAATTACCAAAATTTTCGTTTATTTACTATATTTTATTGATAGTTGTGTTGGTTTGTGTTTGATTTGTGCTCTGCTGCTTCCTTAAATTTTTAGTTGAACAATACTTTTTGTGTTATTTGCGTCTTAATTTTTTTATTAGGTCATTCAATTTATTATTTATCTATTAAATTAGTTGATAAATTTTATTATTATTTATTTTGGTTTCATTTTGATTTATGTTTAGGGATGGTAAAAAAATCCGTCAAAAATCGGTACATGCGGGCCCCGTCCGCCTAATCAGGTATTTGAGGTGGGGAATTCTACCCTGAGGCGGGGACAAGCAACACCTGTCCTGCCTCGTTGATTTTTTAAAAAAAAAAATCAATATTTTAAATAGAAAATTTCACAAAATTTCATTAATTCTGATAGAAGATGGTTATCTAAATATGATAAACAAAAAGCTTAGTTTACCAAATATATAACTTAACGTTTAAAAATAAATAAATTAATTAAAAATTTTAATAGCTATATTATTGTCTCACTTTAATGAATAGGGACAATAAAATGAATTATCAAAAACTTATTTAAAAAAAATGAGAATACATAAACGGGTAAAGCCCCCGTCGCCGCCCCTAACCCACCCTGCCAACCCCACCTTGCCTCACCTTAAATGGGTAATGGGGTAGGTACAAGGCAGAAAAATGTCTGATGGGGTGGGGCGAGAAAACGCGTCCCACTGCCATCCCTATTTGTGTTGGGCTCTTTTAAATAATTATGAGTTTACATTTTTTACTCGTACTTGGGTTCTTGATTCTTTTTCGTTGAATGCAAAGATAGCTCATTCAGTGATTTGCACTACGATTTGGTTGAATAATAATAAGGAACCTATTATGATTCGTCAATATTTGAATGAGATAAAATCATTGGATGATTTAGTAAAATTTGTAGAATGTATTATTGTACTTTATCTTTCTATTCATTTTCTTTTATTAGTTGCTTAAATTATTTAATCATAATTAACATTATACTCTTATCTTTACGTAGAGAATAATCATGTATTGCAATCGAAGATGCTACGCTAATTCGTTTCGACTAAGAGGTAGGAGCTAAATAATTTCTTTTATATTGTTGCACTGTAATGATTTAAAGTGTAAAACTTTTGTTTGTAATGTATATAATGATATTAAGTGGCGAATCTAGGATCTGAGTCCTGTTAGGGGGGGTTGACGGTTGATTGTCGACCGTTGATCGTAATAGTCCGATCGTTTATTAAAATTTGGTTGCATAATATAAAAGTTATTTAATATATACGTAAATGAACTAAAACGTCAAATCGTATATATATGAAAATATATTTCAATACAACCCAAAATAGTAAAAAAAATATACGATACAACCTTGCTTAGTTACTCTGAAACTGTAAACTTAGATAACTGCATTCTACAGGGTCTCATATTTTGAAAATGTTGCAATATTGCCTCATTCTCAATTTTTTTCAAAATAACTTTCTCCACGTAAACCACCAAATTGTCATTCAACCAGTCATCTCCCATTTTGTTGCACAAATTACTCTTGATTAGATTCATATCAGAAAATACTCTTTCAACACTTGCAGTTGCCACAGTTAAATCAAAACCAAGATGAGCAGCCTATAAACCAATGGAAAATAACAGGAACTTCTAGTTTCAACAAACTTCTAAACTACACAAGATATGCTATTAAGATTAAAGAAAGTTTCGTCCATTCTCACAAGCATAAAAAACTTATCAAGATGAGGTCGAAGTAATAAAAACTCTTCTCTATTGAAGTCCAAATGATAAAACTGAGCAAGACGTAGCAATTTATTCTTATCAAAAGCTGCAAAATGAATCTCTTGGTCTTAAACATGAAATACAAGTAAAGAGCTCAGTAATTTTTTCTGGAAAACGATCATTCAACTCTTGCAAGATTGAGTCTATCGCATGACAATACAAATCAACATAAAAGCAATGAAAATAAGTCACCTACTAAGCTAAAAGCCTAGTTCGACTTTCACTACTACAATATCCTCCAGATTGGGCATTAAAATATGTCTATCAACACAAAACTCAATCATCCTACTCAACAAAGTATCCCAACCATTCTCTCTCAGGTTCTACAATGTACACTTACACAAATTCAATAATCCTATAGCATTCTGAATATCCTGATTCTTTTTCTGTAAGGCTTGTGAAAAATCATCTCTAATTACAAGAATTTTAAATATAAAGTGAAGACTGAATACAAACTCAAAATCTTGCATAGTATTCATCTATCTTACGGTCGAAGATTTTTTATTTGAATGTATGCCATCTTCTGATATATTCTCAAGAACATCTATGATAGTATTAAATATATTAATGAAACGAGTAATTGTTAGTAGATGTGAGCCCCACCTAGTATCACCTGGGCGTGCCTCTTGAAACTGACCACTTTCACCAGTAAGTTCCTCAATATTAAGTTTCTCCAAAATATTAGAATGATAACTTATTCGAAAAGCATCTACACGCTTACATGATGCACCAACCAAATTCACAATAATAGCAAGTACGTTAAAAAAATCTCCAAGCATACAATTTCTACGTGCCACAAATACAATTGCCAAATGAAGCTGGTGAGTGAGCAATGAACTTACATAGCATGTGGGTTCTCTCTTAGAATTAAAGCTTTCAATCCATTAAATTCATCTGACATATTACTTGCTCCATCATAGCCTTGACCTCTCAGGCTAGATATGCTCAACTCATGTGTAGAAAACATTATATCAATAGCATCCTTCAGTGATTAAGCACAAGTGTCAGTGACATGGAACATACCCAAAAAACGCTCATTCACTTGGCCACTTTTGTCAACAAACCTCAAAACAACTGCCATTTTTTTCTTCGTAAAATTATCACGAGCCTCATCCACCAAAACCGAAAGCAAAGAATTACCTATCTCATTGATAATAGCCCTTGTTGTCTCTACGACACAACAATTAACCAAATCCTTTTGGATGGTTGGTGAAGTCATTTGGTCATTTTCAGTAGCATTATTAAATAATGCATCTTCAATTTCCTTACAACGAGCTACATACCAGTTCAGTAACTCAATTAGATTTCCTCTATTAAGAGACTATTTCGATTTATCATGACCATGAAATGACAACCCTTGCATCAAGAGGAGTCTAGTACAATCTAGCATTGCAGTCAACCTGGTCCTATAACTTTGTTGTTGACTACTACTTTGGCTAGAAATAGTATAGGAGATACTTTGCTTTTGATTCATCAAGTTCGAACACTTTGCAAAAGCTTGATTATGAGCACTATCAAAGAGACCGACATGATCTTTCATTGTCTTTTTGTGCTTCCAATCCCTAAAGCTGATTTTAGTAAATATATGTCCACCCTCTTGACCTACTCTATCGGGTTTGAACAAGTAATAATGCAAATAATGCGTCACATCCTTTTTTATACTGTATTCCAACCAATAAAATTCGGAGAACTATTCTTTCTGAAAACATCTATTATCATTCTCCATCGGTCTTCTTGAAAAATTATGTCCATATGGTTGACAAGGACCCTTCTCCAAGTATGACATCCTAACATCATCTCTGACATTAGGATCATATGACTCGATAGGGGGCGTATCCCTGGATTAAATACAAGATCATCCACATTAAATTAAGTCCGGGACTTTTTTGTGTTATTCGATAACTATTGTGCTAGCCTAGAATCAATGGCGGGATTAGATGCACAACTAGAAGTAGAAGAATTGGGTATGAACTTTTGTTTTGGTCGAAAAAATAGTTTCATAATCTGCAAAATGCCCCAATTACTTATCATAAATCACAATTTGTAAACATAATTTCGTAAATCGTAAACATAAATTCTCAAATCAATAATCATTCCTCATCAAAACATAAATTACTTATCATAAATCACAATTTGCAAATATAATTTCGTAAACATAAATTCCCCAATTAATAATCATAACTCATGATAAAATATAAATTACTTATCATAGTTCATAAATCACAATTCGCAAACATAAATTTCCAAATGAATAAATCGTAACATAATTAATATTAAGTTATTCAATGCTCAACATCAACAACTCACAGTAGACAGTAGCAAACTAGTAGGGGCGAAACAAAATATAACAAAATCAAAATAGACAAAACAAAATAGAACAAAACCAAGACAAAAAAAAAAATAAATAATAATAATAATAAAGAGGGAAAGAAAGAGTCACCAATGGCAGTCTGAGACTCTGAGGTAGTGTCCGTAGTGAGGTCGAGACTAGAGTCTAGAAGGCAAATGGCTGGTCACGATTCGTTCGACGTTCACGGCAGCAGAACGATGTGTTCTTTGTTGGAGTTTGCGGTCGTTGGTCTGCCTCTTGGAGTCTGGAGCTAGGTCGTGTAGTGTGGTCATGTCGATTTGGAGAAAGAAGAAGTGAGGTTGAGGAAAATGGTTTGGCAATTTGGGGGAATTGGATTTGGGAAATTCACAATTCTTGCTGGACCTGGACGATTGAAATAATGAAATGGTTTGATAAATTGAATAATTTCAATTGACAATTGGGCTAAATAATAAAAGGCCCAAAATTTCTTTAATTTACTGAAGCCCAAACCAAAAAAAGGGTTTTCTTCTTCCTTCTCCTTCTCCAAGCGGTAGGCGACCAGGCGGTTCTGTAACTGCTACGCATAGTGAACGGCTAACCCAGTGGTTCTGTAGATTCCGCGCGGAGCCAGCATACGCAGCCGTGTTCCCTTGTCGGGTGCTGACTCTGCGCCTGATGATACTAATAATTATGTTTCAACTTGAGATTTTAGACAAATTTTTATGATTTAACTTGTTAGGTGTATTTTTTTTATTTTTTATGCTAAAATTGTGATTTTAACCGAGTCAAACCAAAAAAATGGTTTGGTAGAAAGTGAAGCAGTTTAGTTTGGAAAAAAATTAAATTATTTTAAATGATTTTGTTTGAAGATTTATCACAAATGCCTAAATCGAATCACGCTTATCCCTAGATCAAGATAAAGTAAAGGAGAAAGTTTGATATTTTAAATGAAAAACAATTATAATTGGGCTATTTTGACTAGTAAAAAGGGAATTTTTGAAAATTCGCCAAACACGAAAAGGTGTTTTTCGTGGTAAGTTGTATTCACATCACATTTTTGTTTTGGTGCACCAATTTTTCATTAAACTAACGTTTTCCAGCCTTTTACTCATCATCACACTTATTTCTCTAACTTTTTATTGTATTCTTATCATCGACCTCCTATAAAATAGGATATCTTGTCCTTAATCACGATTTTGTCCAAATATCTCATTAGCGTGTTTTCAAATAATAATAATAATAATAATAATAATAATAATAATAATAATAATAATAGTAATAATAATATTTTGTTGTACTTTTGTCTATGTTGATGTTATTATTATTATTTGAAAAATATGGAGCAATTAAGAGCTTGATTACCTTTCATTATTATATCTTTATAACTTAAAAGTCGAATTAAACTTTAATTTTAATCACATATTTTGAAGGTTCCACAACTACTATCCATTTATACATTACTTTATACGACTTACTTACGATGAAATCCAAACAAGCCCTCCTAACAGAATTTTTTTTGTTTGACGAATCAGGACTTGAAGTGCAAATTAACAGCTTATTGAGAAGAAGAATATGACAAAAAAAAACTTAGAAAAATTTTGTCTTCTTACTGACTTTCCATAATAAGTCAGATATTCTAATATTGTTTCCATAATCAGTTTAGATTCTTTATTAATTGTATATGGAGTTCTTTCCAAAATTGGTAAAACTCTTTTCCTAATTCGATTGGGAATCTTAAGCCTCAGAACCTCTATATAATGGCATCTCTTCTCGTTAAGGAAAAAGAATACAGATTTTTTCAAAAAGATCCCAATAATTTGAAATTTTTTCTCTTCTCATCATGAAAGAAAAGAAATTTAATCCAGCGACAATGGGACGGCCGATTAAAGTGCGAGAAGTATGGCAGTATAATTTGGGATACGAGTTCAATTTGATTCAAAAAGTTCTTCACTTGTTTCCATACACTTCCATGGACACCGAATTTCCTGGAGTAATTTACCATCATCCAAAACTAAATTATTCTCGTCTTTCTCCCGGAGAAAGCTACTCAATCATGAAGAAGAACGTGGACGCTATGAAACTTATTCAGGTCGGGCTCACATTATCTGATGAAGAAGGCAATCTGCCAGATTTTGGGAGTGAATTTTGCTATGTATGGGAATTTAATTTCCAGGAATTTGACGTGGACGAAGATCTCCAAAACCCTAAATCCATAGACTTGCTTAAGCGCCAAGGCATCGATTTTTCGAAGAACAAGCGAATGGGAATTCATTCCTTTCAGTTCGCCGTGCTTTTTATGACTTCTGGACTTTCATTGGCTCCGACATGGGTGGACAGAAGTCGAACGTGGATAACTTTTCACAGCACGTATGATTTCGGATACTTGATAAAAATTTTGTCCCGTAGAGAACTTCCAGATGATCTGTCAGAATTCATGGGATTGGTGAGAATGTATTTTGGGGAGAAGGTGTTCGATATGAAGCAGATAATGGGATGTTGTGGGCTTTACGGCGGCCTCGAGCGGATGGCGAAGAGTTTGAAAGTCGACAGAGTGGTCGGAGAAAGCCACCAGGCAGGGTCCGATAGCTTGCTTACGATGCAAGCTTTTATGGAGTTGAAGAAGGTTTATTTTTGCGGTCCGACAATGGAATCGTTGAATGAATTTAACTACGTTTTACATGGATTAGTCAATGTTGTTGCTGTCTGAGGATTAATTTTCTTCACAGTTCTTGATTTTTGTAAACAATATTCAAAACATAAAATCAGAATTTTTGTTCTGGTTCTTTTTAAACGGAATTCACATGTTCTGTTTTTCTTGAAATTCTTAGCTAATTATGCAAGTATTTCTCTATTGACACTTCATACATGAACATATTTGATAACTTTGATGGATGGAAGTTGAATGGCTCAAAGATTTACATTGGTAGGAGTAAAATCATATTTTTAGTATATATATATATAGCTTAGTCCTTTTAGTGACTTTGTGTCAAACTTTTTCGAAAAAAGACAAGAAACTATCGTGAGAGGAGCTACTTGGGATTGTTTAAGCAATTAAGCTGGCTTTATTGGCGGATAGATAGCACTCCTCACTTTGCCATGAGAACAAAGAAAGTCTCCTTTCAACTTTGCCCGCCGCCTGTTCTTTAGGGCTTTCTAGTAAGTGGGGCCTTAGACCAACTCCTCGAGTCACTAGAAATAGGGTGAAAGGCTCACTACTTCTTCATTCATGAATCTCGAAGCTGGAACTTCTTCTTGAACCGGGCAGCACCCCGATTCCATGTTTAGGATGGGATTTTTAATTGGAAAAGATAAAGAATAAATGGATCACAAGTCGATATGGCTGGAAATGAATGTTAGTAATAATAATATTAAATAAACAGTATGTATATTTAGTTTTCGAAAGGTAAAAGGAAAGAAATAGGAAGTTTCGGATAAAAAAGTATTGTTGCTTGTCATCATCCACAAACGTGCATCACCTCGGAGCAATTCAGTGAAATTGGGAAGAATGGGCCAGGCTGAATTTGATCCAATACAAATTTTAATAGGCTTAGTTAGAGGGGTGATTAGAGATGGACTCGACGTCAACTTTATGGGTGTGATAAAAGTTAAAAAAGGGACAAATTTGCACCAGTAGTACAATGGCCATTTTGATTTTAAAAAATGGAATATAAGCTAAATTTTTTAATTAGTTGAAAATATAGTGTATGACTTTTCACTATAAAAGTGATGCATTATGTGATTTTTTAATAAATCAACTTTTTAATTAAAAAGCGATAGAGTTTTTTCACTTATAATGTAGAATTTTAATCGACATCCAATACATAAAAGTGAGAATTATATATTAGTTTATAAGCACGTTGTAAGTTTAGGCAATGGACTATAAATGGAACTTGTCAGGTTAATTAGGAGTTTTCATTCAAGTAACGATACATACGAAGAACGAATCGTCGAGGTCTGAAAAAGACTTGACGAATTGATGAGGCTCAACAATTGAAAGAAGTAAGGGTACGTTTGAATGCTAATATTTTTCAAAAAAAAAAAAAAAAAAATTCACCCAAATTCTTACTTTTTTTTTCATGGAAAATATTTTCCTACTTTGGTCACGTGATCATAGTTTCCTCAAAATCAAGGAAAATATTTTCTTTAGGGTGAGTAGGATTTTATTTTTCAGGAAATTTACTCTCTCTTATCTATCAACTCTCTCTTATCTACACACATTAAAAAACGGACAAGTATAATATTTTTTTAAGTTGAAAATTAAATCAATCAAACACATTTAATTAACGATTTTCATTCAAATAAATTCTAGGCAATTGAATTAATTATAATTTATTTTCTTTCTATACATATTTCATACTTGTAATCAAACAAACTCTAAAACAAATATATCCCTGCCATGTAAAAAGGGAATGAGAAGTCTACGGCAGATACAACAGTCATCTAATCCTCTTTCCTTCTTCATTTTTCCTCGCTATGAACAAAATGCCATCGTTTTTGTCTGTACACAGTTTTCCACTTTTCTCCATTTCTTTACGCAACATCCATGCTCGCAAGCCTCTCTTCGTTATCACTTCCAAACAAATTACGTCCACCAGAATTCTTTTTCTTCTGCTATTTTTTGTGTATGTAATCTGCTTCATGTTGCATATTGGTAATATATTTTTTGTAGGCAGTAAATGGCGGTGGTGTTGCAGTCAAAAGACGTGCTAAAAGCCTAGAATGGGCTTATAGAGGAGAAGGCGCAGTGAATCTGGTTCTTGCTTATTCTGGAAAATCTGCTTATTTTGTATGTTTTCTTATTCTATTTTTTACTCTTACCTTTTATTGTGTAGACTACTTTTTAGTTTAATTTTTGTTAGCCTAATTGGTTAACGCTTGTTCAAACTTCAGATAATTTCGTTTTACATTATGCAGTTGCAGACCCACGTGATCTCTCTCAAAAGTTGTTCCTGATGTCGTTTCCGGTTTCCATCCATCACTATTCAACTAAAAGGCCGAGTTTCGATGAGTCATTCTTCCGAGTGATCGAAATCGAGATTCAGCGTGCCCAGGAGAGCGAGGACGATGACGAGGTTTTATTTCTTTTATCTTTTTAATATCTTTATGTAAATAACTTGTCTTTGTTATGTGGATAGATTGCAAGAAAACGATGGAAAATAAGGGGTGATGTATTCAATTTCCTTTTGAAATTGAATACCATCCTCGACAACAAACCATAACCCTAGCCAGAGAATATCAGGATGAAGCTATCATTCTATACTGGTAAATTCCCTTTTTTTTTTTTTTTCTTTTTCTTTCTTAGTTTTAGTAGTTTGATTTATTTTTTATGGGTTTTCTGAAGTGCGTTTTACTGCAATTCCTCGGTGGCTTCAAGTAATGCTAAGTGGAAAGTTTTTTCAATTCTTCTGCAACTTATTGAGAATTTTCAGATAAGAAGGTATGTTTATGAAGATGTTTTTGTGCTTAAAAGATGCATAGAAATTTGTGGTCGGTTACCTTTGGAAATAAGTTATAATGTCTTTTCTGATATGGTGCGATCGTTTTCTCACTTTCTGATTTACAGTCTTGCACAAAGTTGTATCATATTATGAAAATTGAATGATTGGGCGTAGGAAGTATAGTGACAGTGGATTGACCAGCTTTTTATATAGAGTTTGATTTGTTATTTCTTTAATGGCGATCAATCTCCTCTTTCATAAAATATGGAAATGGAAGAGCCATAAATTGACAAACTAAAACCTGGTCCAGTGAATTTCATTATATATATGGAACATAAAATATGGATGTTAAGTTGAAATTATTGAATTTTTATTTTGAACCCCACCCAATCTTGAGGGCCCCCACGGCCCCACTCCTAGAGCTTTGTGAGGGAGGTAAATCGCGGTATATGTCCCAACAGGTCAGGGAATAAGAGCTGTCTGTATACTGCGCCTACAAGGAGTCTAATTCCATATTTTGGGAATCGAACCCCTACACTGCGGTTGCCAGCAATGCATGAGATAACTTCACTCTTATCATTTGCACCACTGCGCTATATCTCGAGGGGCGAAATTATTGAATTTTTAAATATCACCGGTAGATGGTCCATCTCAAACTATAGCGTCAAAATATTTTTAGATGCTTTTAATATATGTTTTATTTGCGGACTTGTTTCTAATGATGAAAAGGAAAGTTCATTTGAAATTGTACAGCCTGTAGAAATTGAACTTCTCAATAATTCTATTGATATCAAATAAATTGAGCTACATTTAGTTACGAATTTATTTTTTCCCCTGGCAAAAGTTGATGCTATTTTGCTTTTTCGAAGCAAACTTGAATTTAATTGATTATATCAATCATTTAAGAAAATGAACTTTGAAGAGCCATATAGTTTTTTCAAGCTGAGCCTTTAAAGAATGAATTTTATACAGTGGTGTTTGGTTGCGGTGTTAATAGTTGGTGATGTTTGGTAAATATTTGAGGTGAATGTAGTATTTATAGTCATCTATGACCAAGTATGTGTTTATTGTGATTGGTTGTGACCAATTTTGTGTTAATTGTGATCAGTTGTGACTTGATCATATACCGTCACAGTTAAAATTGACCCGATCACAAAAAATCATATTGAAGACAAATTTAATCACAGTTAGTCACATAGAAGAAAAAATTTGATCATGGTCAGTCAAAGATGACACATGTCAGTGACTTGGTTGTGTACAGTCACATTATAGACCATCACAAACTACACTAAAGATAAATTTGATTACAGCTAGTCACAAATAATACAAATTAGTAACTTGATTATATACAATCACAAATTAGACAGTCATAGACTGTCACACTAAAGATAATTTTGATCATAATTTGTCACATATAACACAGGTCGTGTCACAGATAAAATAGTTAGTCACAAATCTAGGGTGATTTCATGGGAGTACAGTGTAATATCCAAAAAATGTTTTAAATTTTTTTAAAGGTTAGGAAGCGGTGGAGGTAAGGTTTTTAATTTTTGAAATGTTTTTATAAGTTGGAGCGGGCGTGGTTCTGAGCTGGGGTATAATATTGAGAAATTTTTTTAATTTTTGAAATTTTTTTTACAGGTGGGGTCTGTGGAGTCGGGGTGGGTGAAAGTTGTTTCGGGTTGGAGTGTAATCTTCATAAAAGATTTTTAATTTTTAGAATTTTTTTACGAGGTGGGGTATGGGGGATATCATTAATTGATATAGAGCTTGTTTGTAAGTGATTTTGAGAATTGATTTTTTGACCGTTAGGAGAAAAGTGGGATCCACTTGTGAGAGGAGAAGTCAAATATGACGGCTGAAATAGTTAAATAACGGTTAAAAAATCAATTTTTTTGATGAAAAAATCGGACCCAAACAGGCCCATATTATTAATTAGGTGGGATTTTATTAATTGGTATCAACCCCTAAATTTTGAAATAGTTTGACAAATTTGTTAGTTTTGAAATGTAATTCTTATATTTAGGAGTTATATGTATTGGTTCTAGGGACGGATCTAGAATTGGATCCAAGATCGGGTTATAAAATTTCAAATCGAACTATTACGTGGGAAAAAAATTTACACATAAAAAACTGATTTTTTACCAAAAAATTTAAAATTTACCTGACGTGGCATAATAGTTGCAAGTGCATAAGACAGATTTAAAATATTGCTCAAAACAATTGGCCTGGTCAATGTACCAAAGAAGAAATAAAAAGTGGAAGGAAGATACACCACTCCACTCGCCAGATTTCTCCCGTCGAATCCTAGATCTGAGATTTTCTCGTCTCTTCCCAGAGCTGAAGTCGGTGGATCAATTGTCGGCGAAGGTGTTGTCCAGCTCACTTGTACACACACACACACACGTTTGTACACACTGATCGACGACATCACCGACAGCCGCTTCCCCATAGCATCTGGACTGCTACTTATTACCAACAAGAAGCAAAATGCCAAACATATTGCAAGTAACACGTTACACCAAAAAACTAAAATTGGCCAACATATTCACAGCTAACTAACTAAATTAAACAAACACGAAAACATAAATTTCTCAACAAGCTCGTAAATTATCTCATTTCACAACTTCCCAACACACGAAATGGTGCAATAATTTGTTGAAAAATCCAAAAATCTTACAGTTTCAAACCATGTAGAATGGGTGCCAAAAAAAATAAAAAAAATCATAAATAATTTGTTCAAAATCCCAAAAATCTAACATTCTCAAATCGCTACGCAGTCGCTATTATTTCTAGTCTAAAGCCATCGACGACAACCCCAGAAGATGATGATAGCGACGATGAAATCGACAACTTTGTTGCGGTTTGGGCACTCGATAATATGACACAAAGTTAAAGATGTTGCATTATTTGTTGTTTGACGATAGCCGGAGTTAGGGACGAAAGTGCCGACGACATCAACAATAATTAAAGGTTGCAGTTCGACGGGGATAGATGGGAGGAATGGGCGTGAGAAGGTGGAGCCTTTAGTGTGTTTTGTTTTCATTCAACATTCATGTGGGTTGTTTCAAAATCATTCATTATTCTATTATTTATTTGTTTGAAAATAGACTTGACACATCATCTAGAAAACTTCTGTGAAATGGCTTCTGTACGCGTAGCACTATTGTTTCTTAATAGTATTTTCGTATTTGGAGAGTGGAGGTGAATAGAGTTATCAGTTATCAAAGATGGTAAAGATGTCATTATAAAGGTAAGAAGAGTTAAGTCACTTTGTCAGAAATTATTGTTCACTTAATTGACAGATGCAATGGTAGTAGATGATTGGATGCAAAAAATGATTGTTTTTTAAATCGTCTAAGGAAGATGGTAATTTTATTTATTTATTATTATTATTATTTACAATGTGTCATGATTGAAGTTAGGAATGTTGTCCTAATATTAGATGATCATGATAGATTCAAAGGCAAGAAATCTTGAAGGTCGGTAAAACATTAATCTCATATACATAAATATGATCCATCTATATGTGTGAGTGTGTGCACGCGCGCGATGTAGCTTAAAAAGTTGATACAAATATAAATTAAAGTTAACAATTAATTTTAATTATATTAAAATTTGGTGTTTCATATTAAAAATGTCAACTTTAATAAGAGAAGCAGTCAAAATCCTTCTATGTTGGTTTATATTTTTTATATTTATTCGACATAAAATTTATTTCTTAACATGTTCTTGCAAGATAGTAACTTGTTAGAGCAAACTAATATTGAAATTTGTGTGCTCATTTTTTAGTCTTAATTGGATCAAATTGCTCATTGGAACTCTTGTAGGGATGGCAGCGGGACGGGTATGGGACGGTCGGCCATTCCCACCACTGTCCCGTCAAGTAGATCCATCGAGTATTTTTATTATCTTACTCCGTACTCATACCCGATTAAAGGGGGTTCGAGGCAAGTCTCATGTTCCATTTATCGCCCCATTTAATTTTTCTTTTTTTATTTTTTGCTTTTATTTTTCATGTCCTTAGCTAGTAAATGGTATTACTTTTTTTTCCAATTTGTTAAAAACGATTTGTGTTCTCTTTAAAAAGGATAATAAATCTATAATTTTTGTTTGATAACAACTTAAATTTGAAATTAATATTAAATGGGATGGGTAATGGGACGGGGACTTTGTTTCTTGTACCCATTCCATACCCACTTCGGGGTAATGATTCTTTCCCTATACCCATCCCATATACCTGGTTAGGCCAGCATTGGGGCTTGCCATCCCTAAACTATTGGGCTCTAATATTATATTAAAACTTAAAATTTTATTTTAAAATGTCAAACTTATTAAGAGAAATAACATAATACCTTATTTGTTAATTTATATTTATATCTTTATTCGGTGCGAGATTTATCCCTTAGCAAATCACACGTTTTACGGGATTCATAACTTATATTAATTTTTCAATCGTATATTTAACCATTTTTTTTTTATCAAAATCTACTAAAAATATATATTTTTAACTGCATCAAACAGAAGCGAATGTCTTTTTTAGAACTTTTATGTTGACGAAAAGCGAATGTCCTTTTTAGAACTTTTATGTTGACGAATTATAAATGATGTATGTATTTAATTGGGATTTTGGTAGAATTTTATGGATTTTTTTAAGTGATGAATTTTGTAAATTTCATAAACTTTTTATAGATTTGTATAAAAATAATGGAAGTCTTTTGTAGACTTTTATAGATTTTCATTTTAAAATTTTTCTAAACTTTTGTAAAATTCAAAAGATTTTTATTTAAAATAGAATTCAAGTAAGTCTAGAACATAAATGGGAAATTCCCACATATGATTATATGAGATTATGGTTCACACAATTCCGTTCTCACTCTATGTATATAATAAAAAATATTCTCTAAAAGATCAAAAGTTTTAGCGGGGTATTTTCAATTAAGATTTTAAAGAATTTTGTGAATTTGAATAGATTTTTGCAAATTTCATAAGAATCTTATCAAATATGATGAAATTTCAAAATATTTGTTTATATTAGTTATATGTATTTTTAAATTTGAAATCCATCTAAATCTTTTAAAATCCTTTTATTAATAAAATCTTTATAAATTGACTAATTATTGAGAATACCTAAATTTTAAAGAAATTTATTAAAATCTCAATTTGAGACACCTAAATTTTAATGAATTTCATTAAAATTCAATAAAATCTCTATTGAAAACACATAAATTTAGAATAATTTTTAAAATTCATTACAATCTCAATTGAGGACGTATTACATTATTCTTTAATAGAAAATAAATAAAAATTAATTAATATTCAGTATTATCAATGTGTCATTCCTTTAAAGATTAAACAAGAAATTAATATATTTATT